ACTACTTTGAATCAAACCTCCTTACTTTTTTTTTTTAATTGTGTTGTTGGTTTTGAATTCCCATTTATTTAAGAGATAGGTTTTTGTTTTCTGTATTTCCTTTTAGGAAGCTGGGTTGAAGTAAGGGAGATGAAATTAAGAGCAGCAGTTTCTTGTTTTTCTAGTCTAGATGACTTTGGAAATTTGAAAGGGATTTTTAAGGGAGGGAGTTGCCGAGAAAGGCAAGTTAGGACAGCCAGTGTGTCTGCAGCCTGGAATCAGCGTTGAAAGCCATAGCAAGGAGATTGTAGAGGTTTAAAAGTCTGTATCTCCTCTGTCCAGGATACCCATTATCCTCTCCTAGTGTGATTGGATTCTAAGAGATACCAACAGGGGAAAGAGGGCAAATACAAGTAGGCCCCAATCTGTGGTTTGCTCAAGATTTCAAACTAAATTTTAGAATAATCAAGGACTTTATTCTATTTACTAATAATTAAACTTCCCAAAGCCGGCTTATTTCCTTCCCTACATTTTCTGTTTATTGATTTCCCAGAAAAGACCAAATTGCTGAATAGGTGTCTATTAAAAACTTAAAAATCTTTCAAAAAGTACTAAAAAGACATTTAGAAAATATTTTCTTTTTAAGCAATAAAACTGCTATATTCTGGGTGAGTCTTTTCTGTTGATTTGCAAAAAAGCACATCAGTCTAAACAATTAAATATACTGTTTGTCTTCTTAGGCTATGGACAAGCTGGTCGAGGTAGGAGTATGGGCTGGTAATTTGGCCAAAGCTCTTAAAATTGGCCAAGAAAGTTTCAGTCAATGGCTATTTTTTCCAATAAATTTCTTGTAGTAAACAGAGGTATTCACAATCATGTCACTGATTTTTAGTGCTGCTCTTACACTACTGTAACAGGCATTCAATATTTGTTGGTTATTGGTGCAGATGGTGTTTCTCCAGCTGAATTCTTTTTTTTCAAGATAACCTAATCTAATATTTCTTTCCTTCCCATTCTTGTATCTCCTCACTTTATTCAAAAGGCACAAGCTACTATCTGCTAGTATCTGACTAAATAAAAGCTACTAGAAAGCCATTGTCACTTTTTCTTTGCCATTACTCTCAAGGAGCCAACTTGTCATTTTGTTGACAGCTGTCAGAGCACTTCATGCTTCATTGGAAAGCCGTCAAAAATTTCCAAATAGCAAGCTCACTAGCACAAAATGGAGCTTCAGTAATCTCTCTCTCTCTCTCAGTGTTCTGACTGTGTCTTGTTGAGTTTTCCAACCTTGGGGGACACTCTGAAACAATGTATAAAGACCATGGAGAATTGATAGATGTTAGTCAACTTTGAAGGAGTGAAACATGGGTGAAGGCAAAGTACAACAGGTAAAAATTTGGGATTATCTGTGTCAGCAAAAGGATGATGCATGACTTTGCTAACTATCCACAGGTTGCTAAATATCAGAGCTCCAAGGGCCCTCGAGATTATCTAGTTAGGCCCCCATGTTTTACCAGTAAGGGTAAGAGAGGCCTCAAAAGGGGAAAGGGACTTGCCCAAGGTCAATCAGCTCTTCCCAGCTTTCCAGACCCCAGCTTGCTTTCAGTTGCATGACCTGTATGTTATCAATTTTCAGTTACTTGGGGCCCTCACTGCTAGCACAGCAATCACTTGGATAATCCAAAATGGCATGTAAGTTGACCATTGTTTACATTGGGCTTTATGATGTGTGTTTACACTGACATTTCAATGTGTCTGGGTCTAATCTGATAATTCACAACACTTCAAATGAAATACAAAAGCCACCCTGAAAGTCTGATTCAGGAAAAGCTGGAAAGTTGACCAGCCATACTGAATGGACAGCATCAGTTCCTTCAGGCAGGGCATGTTAATCTCAACAAGTTTGTTGATTCATACTTTTCATGGGCCCCAGCTAGAGTTATGAGGAGGGCAGTGGAAAGGAGAAACCAAGACCTTTTGCAAAATAATATGTGTATCTCCCTCCTTTCCTTCTTTTTTTTCCGTTTTCCTTACTAGAAACATGGATATCTGCTTTGTCTTCTGTATAAACAAATTGGAGAACAGACTGTCAGCAGGCCAAACAATAAGTGGAAGACATGTTGGAACCCAGGAATATAGAGGTCGAGGGAGGAAGAGAAAGACTACTGAGCAATAAGGAAAAAATGACCAAAACAGTCAGGAGGAGTAAGAAGGAGTCAATTAAATTGCTCAGTAAATGCCCTGGATCTGAAAAAGGGCTACTTTAGGGTATAGTCCAAGGGATTTTCCACCAAATGGAGTTTAATTTCCTGATCCGGACCTGTTTGGACTCTGGGATTGTGCTGGGTACCCGTAATTTGCTGGTTTGTTGTTTGAGAATCTTCACATTTGTACTAAAGTGGCATTATTACACACAACATATCTGTCCTGAAGGGGATGCTGCTAGTGACTCAGAAGGGGCAAAAAATAGAATAATAGGCATTAGTAGTCAGCCCTAGACAGTAATCCAAGAAAGCGTCCCTGCAAGAGCTCAAATAGTGACAACTGGAGCGCTAGTAGGGAATGCAAAACGCCTGAACTTTTGCTATAGCAATAATTAACCATTTTAGTTTAAAAGGTTTCCTGTCTAGGTCTTCTGTCCTAGAATAAACAGAAATCTTGTTGATGTAACCAAAACAAAAACATCCAAACCCATTGCTGTTGAGTCTATTCCGACTCATAGCGACCCTATAGGACAGAGTAGAACTGCCCCATAGGGTTTCCAAGGAGCGGCTGGTGGCTTTGAACTGCTGACCTTTTGGTTAGCAGCTGAGCTCTTAACCACTGCACCACTAGGGCTCAGTTGATGTAACAGAAGGCTTAATTAACCCAAGATGGTGCTTAATATCAATACATACTGAAGGAAAGACTTGCTATGGCTAACAGTATTATAGATAATTGAGTTGTATGAATAAAAAAATGTGTAGAGTGAATTAAGACTAATGTACATCAACAGAGAAAATCTATTAGCATTCATTAGTTAGACTCCTGTTTATGGCTCTTTATTAGCCTAAGGAAGTTCCTTCAAATGGCTGATCTGTGTTGAAAGTCCTGCCTGATGCTGGGGGCCTTCCATGGATGCCAAAGGAATGAGTCATTCAAATAGAACTTCTGAAATTCAAGTATAGCACTTTTTTTCCCTTTATTTATTTGTGATAGGCAGTAGTGACTGTGAAGTAATAATGATAATGACAGTGGAAATAAGAGTGTGATACTAATTAATTTGCTGAAAGTTGTTCCCCATTTACTAATATTGGATTTTTTTTATTTTGAGTGGTGGCTGAGGTACCGGAACAAAGGTACATATATTTACTGTCACTTGGATAACCTATGATTTGTTGGGCAAAGCTTAATTTTTTAAAAACTGTTGGGTTAGCAGCAATAAATTTAATAAATCTGTGATTTAACTCAGAATTTTAATTCATTTGATGGTGTTTATTAACTCCTGAATTAACATTTTGCTCTGCACTCAGGAGGTCTCATCTGTCAAATTGCAGATGAGCAAGCCAACCCAAAATTCAGCAATATTCTAACTTCTATGGTGTGGGGATGGATTGGGGGGATGCTATGAAAGACTGGGAGAAAGAGGGAGACCCAAGTGGAGGTAAGTGCAAAAACACCTGCAGTGAAGGCCACCCCTTAATTTCCCCATTTAGAATATGCCTTTCCCTAAAGATTGTATTGTTTTAATCACCCTCACCACCACCACCACCACCTCAGAAAACCCTCCTGATTACTTCAGTGAGTTAGACCTTTCTTTACTTAGCTGTCTCAGTAGACTATAAGCTGTAGACTGTGACTCAACCCTGTGGCTAGGAGCTATGTATGCCTATTTCATATCACTTAGTATGTTGTACCGTGCATAATAGAAACTTACTAAGTACTTGAGAAATGAATTAATGAATGAACAATTCCTGTAACCATGGATGGGATTGATGTTCAAATAGGTTGAACTCAACTTAGTGGTAGAAGGAATGTTACATATAAAATTAGCCATAATCAAGACTCTTGGGGGATATTCTGCTTTGTTTTGCTTTTACCTACCCTAGCAGCTCTTATTTCTGCCTTTGCTTTCAATGCCCCCAGCCTGACTACCTTTTTGCCACGATTATCCTGGTCAATGGAAATTTTGTAGGCTGCAGTGGAACAGTGAACACCCATATGCCCAGCTTTTTTTGAGTGTCAACTGTGTGGCAGATACTGGAATCACCACTCTAAGCACTTGTTGAAGAGACATAAACAAGTGATAACTTTGTACATATTTTCTCTTTTGAATTTGCAATTCCGCTCACAGAATGTTGAGCTGGAAGCCTCCTTCGAGATCTTCAGATTCAATTCCCTTGTTAAAATAATTAGAACTCACATTTATTGAGCCACTTTATATTCTAACAATCCTATGAGGCAAGTACTCTTGTTATCTACATTTCATGTATGAGGTAATTGACACACAGAGATGTTAGGTAACTTGCTCAGGGCCGCATAGTTAGAAGTAGTAAAGCCAAGATTCAAATTCATGTTTGTCAGACTCCAAAACTTACCGAAAGAGAAGAAAAGACTTGCCAGAGGTCATTTTGCTGGAGCCTAGCTCTTCTGGCTCTAATTTGCGTGTGTTTTTGTTTGTTTGTTTTTGGTTTTTTGTTTGTTTTTTGCTACGCCATGCTGTTACTTTAGCCCACACTGTGGAGTTCCTTCCAAGTGTCATTTTCTTATTTTCTTATCTCCCCAGATGGATTGTTCACTCCTCCAGTGCAAGGAGTGCATTATTTCTGTGTTGCTGGGTTGCCTCCTCCCTCAAAGGTTTGCCCAAGCTTTGCCTTCAGTAAATAATGGCCTTTGCTCAGCTATTTAGCTGTTCCCTGGAGCTGCCTGGCGGCATCCCCCAGTATTACTCGTGGCTCGAAGATTGGAAGGAGACAGGAAGCAGAATTTTGGGAAAGGAATCACCTCACCACCTGCTTTCTGTTTTGTTCTCTGCAACACAGATTGAAGATGGAGGCAAGGCAGCCTTGTCCGAGAAGTTGAGGACTGGTGATGAGCTGGTGAATATCAACGGCACTCCATTGTATGGCTCCCGCCAAGAGGCCCTCATCCTCATTAAAGGCTCCTTCCGGATCCTCAAGCTGATTGTCAGGAGGTAGGGTGCAGGGAGATCTGCTATAAGGTGCAGAGGCTGCTGAAACCTTGGTTGGTAGTAAAGCCTCAGTAGAGTCACGTCTCTATCAATACCATCAAGGAAAGAGGTGTTTCATCTAAACAGAATTTTTCAGACAACTGAAGCAGAATGGCATAGGGGAAAGGGCCTTTGGGTCAAATCCTAGCATTGCCACACACTAACCATGTCACTGTGGGTAAATTTATTTTATCTCTGTAAGACTCAGTTTCCTTATCTGCTATTGAGAGGACTAAGTGACTCAATACACACCAAGGAACTACCTCATCCAGCATTTTTTTTTGTCCTTCCTTCATAACAGGCTGCCACTGCTCAACCATATACCAATGTATATTTCATGATACTTCACTACCAGCCATGCTAGGGATTCTGTGGGCTGTGGCAAACTCTTAGATAGAAACCCTGCTCTTTAAGAGTGTACAGTCTAACAGAGGAGGAAAGACTCACATGTGACACATGTGACATGTAAATTAACAATACACTTTTTTAAAAAGCAATATAGGAGACTTCACAGGGTGATGTGTTCAGAGTAATGGATTGTTCAGAGAGTAATTGCTATTAGAGTTTAAGAGAAAGAGAGATCACTTCAAAAGGGATTGATTGGGTAAGACGCTCCATGGAGGAGATGGAATTTGAGTTAAAGTTTGGTAGAATTTGAATAATAAGCCATCAGAAGGGGAAAGGCATTACAGGTAAATGGCGTAGCATAGATAGAAAGGAGCTAAGGACATATTTGGGCACAATCATTCTGCTGCTGCCAAAGCACCTGTGTATTGGTGAGCTTTCTATTTGGCCTCTCTTTCATCTTTAAAAAAATTTTATTGTGGTAAAATATATACGGAGCTCTGATGTTACAGTGGTTAAGAGCTTAGCTGCTAACCAAAAAGTCGGCAGTTCAAATCCACCAGCTGCTCTTTGGAAACTCTGTGGGGCAGTTCTACTCTGTCCTATAGGGTCGCTATGTTCAACGGCAACAGGTTTTGGGTAAAATATATATATAACAAAAAATTCGCCATTTTTAAGTGTATAATTCAGTGACATTAATTACGTTCACCATGTTGTGAAACCATCACCACTATCCATTTCTAAGAGTTTTTCATCACCCCAAACATCAACGCAACACACCTTAAGGAATAATTCCCCATGCTTCCCTCCCCTTAGCCCCTGATAACCACTAATAAACTTTTGTCTCTGTGCATTTGCCTATTCTAGATATTTCATATAAGTGGGATCATACAATATTTGACCTTTTGTATCTGATTTATTTCATTCAGAATAATATTTTCAAGGTCCATCCATGTCATAGCATGTATCAGAACTTCATTTCTCTTTATGGATGAATAATATTCCATTATATGGATATACCATATTTTGTTTATCCATTCACCTGCTGATGGATACATGGGTTGTTTCCACCTTTTGGCTATCGTGAATAATGCTGCAGTGAACATTGGTGTACATAAGTCTGTTTGAGTCCTTGCTTTCAAGTCTTTTGGCTCCTCTGAGCCACTCATCTTCCCTTTTTCAGCTCCACACGTTTTCTCCCTATTGTATCATCATCTGCCACTACCAGTCACTTAGGAGTAGCTATAACTATAGCCTTGGGGATAGTGGGACCCTTTGGTTTTTATGATGTGACAGATCCTGCGGCTCCCTGAACCTTCATTGTTTACTCTTTCAGGCTACCCCTCTCAACCCCTATCGATTGAGGCTTTAGAGACATTATTTATTTATTTTCACTCTTGTAGAAAAATTAACCTTCACATATGGCCTACCTAACGATGTTATAGGAAATTATTGCCTCTTGCTTATTCTAAGATTTTCCTTAAATTCTTTGCTGCTCTCAGGACTACATGTGATTTCCCTTAAGGTTTATGAAGGTTTGCATTCTTAGGACATAAAGGCATGTAATTTCCCTAAAGGTTTATGAACATTCAGCCTAATGTTTTATACTAAGGTAAAAGGGCTTTTGTTTGAGTAAGCATTCAACTGAGAAAGATCCAACACTGAGCTTTAGGTCTGGGCTTGAGTTATTTGGGATGAATATAAAGACAAGGAACTTTAGAAAATGGTCTGAGAAGCCAACCTAGTTCTTCCTTATATATTGCCTTTTAGATATCCACTCAGTCAGCTAAGCCAAAAATCTAGGTGTCACCTTCAACTCTTCTCTCTCACCCTATTCTCCTCCAATCCAAGTAATTCCAAGCCCTGATGATTCTACCTGTTAAAAAACTCTCTGTTGCCTTTTTCTTAATCCAATCACTTATGATTTCTCATCTAGACTATTGTAAATTCCTTCTCACTGGCCTCTCAGGTTCCAGTCTCACCTCTTTCCAATCAATCCATTCTTCACACAGCCAGCAGAGTGAGCTTCCTAAAATAGGCATCTGATCATGCCACATATCAAATTGAAGCAAAAAGTCTTCAACTTCTTGAACATTTCAAAACACATTTGTATACAAGTATTAGCCCAAAGAAAGAGTAGGAGATTAATTAAAATAATAAAAAATGAGATCATGACTTATCAAAACTTTGAAAGCAGCATTTAGAAGTAAATTCGTAACCTTAAATATTTTATTATTAAAAATGAGTAATTACATGACTAAGAATCCAATATATAAAATGAAGCCAAGGGCTAGTTTTTTTTAAATAGATGAATTAGATAGATAAGTCTCTAACAAATGTAATCAAGAAAACAACAATTAATTAAAAATAAAATATAAACAATTAAATATAACAACAGATACAGAAGTTTCTTAAATTATAAGCAGCTACTATAATTGCATCTTAATATATTTTAAAATCTCAGAGAAATTAAAAATATCTATGAAAATGTTAAATGCCAAAAAAAAATTGAGAAGTTGAAAACTAAATAGGCCTGTAACTGCCTAAACATGGAAAACAATTATCAAAGAGAATTTTCCTTAAAGACTTTAGGACCAGATTTTTTATCAGTGAATTCCTTTAAATTTTCTAAGAAATAGCCAAGTTCAATTCTATAACACCATTATGGAATTGAAAATATTGCCGAAATATTCACTTTGTTTTTGAAGCTAGCATTGCTCTGATACCAAAATCTGATGAAGACTGCTCCAAAAAGAACACTATCCAATTTGTGGATTTAGATGCAAAAGTCATAATTAAAATTCTATTAAATCCAATTCAATAAAATTGGACAATTTATTGCAACTGTTAAAAATATTTTCAAAAAGGTAAAATCATGACTCTCAACAGGCATAAATATGAACATGTGTTAAGATTTTATTTAACTCATTAATGAGGAAGCGGTAAGGTGTTACAACCAGTTCAAAGTAGAAGTAAAAGAAGTACAAATTTAAAGGTAATACTAGACCACAGTAACTAATTAGATTCTATAAGGAGAAAGATATCCCATTCACAATATCAATCAAACACATAAAATACCTAGAAATGACCTTAGGAAGAAATGTGCATGAAAGAAAGAGGATGTATGTGGAGGAAATAACAGAATGGTACATAGAGAGAAAATGGATACAAGTAATTTTTGATGGCGTTAGTAAAGTCTTGGGTCCCTGTGTTAAGTGATTAGGAAAAAAAAAAAAAGCAAGCCACACAATTTAATGGACAGTATGTTCACATGCTCTATTTAAGCATGATCTGCATTGACAAATTCCAAACCATTATTCCTCTACCTTCCTGCAAACTCCCTTCACTTTTAAAGTTCAAAAAAGCAGGCTTTGTCATTCTCAACATTTTCTTGCCAATGTCATCTGTCAGCCTCCAGGCATTCTCCCACTTCCATTTTATACTTTGGCACTTGCTTCACAGTCATATTCCCTACCATAATTCCTACTGTCTTTCTGAAATATTTCACTGCCTTTTTAGAGGATCACAAATTTTATCTTATGGGTCTTTGATATTTTAACTTCAATGATATTCACTTCTGTATCAGCAGCTCACTCCCCTGACTGCTAATCTTTCAGTCAACAAATATTTATTGAATGCTTAATCTGTGTTAAATTCTGGTGATTCAATGGTCAACAACAGGTATGGCCTCTTTCTCCATTGAGGTCCTCATATGAATTACAGAACACAAAAAATAATTAGAATGACTATTACCTCAATTTTCCCAAGGATGGTACATAACTAGGAACATTCTAGGTACATAGCAAAAAAGTTAATTCATTCCATACAATAAATCCCTTAGGGCAGTGGTTCCTAGGAAATTGTTAGAAATGAAATTATTGAACACCATCAAGACCTACTGAATCAAAACTCTGGGAGCCAGGCCCAGTCATCTGTTTTAGCAATCTTTCCAGGTGAAACACTTACAATTTGAGAACCACTGCCTTGAGCTATTAGGGCATAATTCTCAAGAATTGCTTAAAGAAGACTAAATCCAACTAAATAACAATCTCTGCTCTTCTTCTAGCTTTCTCACATACCCGTTCTTTTTATACTTGCTCTTCAATATCATCAAGGCCTCAAATCTCATTTTCTCCCATTCTATCAGCATCCTTTTTTAAACATTGTATTGTGGTGAAATACATATAACAGAATATTTGCAATTTCAACCATTTTTCAAATCTGATTTATTGTATTTTTGGTGAAAATATACACAGCAAAAGATACACCATTTCAACAATGTCTACATGTACAATTCAGTGACATTGATTACATTCTTCAATTTGTGCAACCATTCTCACTATCCTTTTCCAAATTATTCCACCACCATTAACATTTAACTGCCCCCTCAGCTTCTCATCTAAGCTTTTGAGTTGCTCTTGTCAAGTTGATCCCGCATAGACAATTGTTTAAAACAGCACAGTGCTCAAGTCAGACTTACTTTACTAATCAAACTAAACTATTGTTTGGTTCATAGAAGACTTCAGAGCATAGTTTTGGTTTGAAGTTTAAGGTTTAAAGATTATCTCAGGGCAATAGTGTAGGGGGTTCATCCAGCCTCAATGGCTCCAACAAGTCTG